GAGCGAAGGCGGCGCGAAGAATGGCAGCGACATGAGGCCCGTCGGTTGATGCCAAGCGATTTAACGGTCCAAAACACATGCAGACTTGCAAAACACCTCCTTTGGTAGGACAGTCATCTTCTGTATCATTATCCATGTCTATATCTATATGTTTGAGTATGGTTTTTTGGACAGCACTATTGGAAAGGCAACTGATGGTTCAGATTCCATAAGCTTCATTAGATCTTCATACTGTAGGATTTTCTCATTAGCTGGATGGGGGGAGTCTTCCTCTCTTTCTCTCTCTCTCTCTATATAGAAACGTCTTAACTCCTAAAGGGTACTCCCGTAGCAGAGGGGGATGACAGGGGAGGTGAAAAAGAAGGAGCGGCTTCAATGAGTCAATCAGTGTCCACTTGATGACCCCGGTAGCTTAGCTTGGATGGGGATGCCCACAGTTGAGCACTTTGTGATCCACTGCGTGATCAAACAGGTCTAAACAGGTATGCGGAAAGATCTAAGCAGCAGTGAGAACGCGCAAATCAATGCTTATAACCGAAGCACCATTCGTTGAACCACAGATTGTAGGCCACGAAACTTGGAGAACTTCCTCCTTTCGGTGTACAACTTCTTCCACTCTTCGTGGTGACCATCCCGGACGTGTGTGTGTCCACTTGGGCAATCCGCGCGCTAGGAAGAGCTCCAGCGGAGGGCGGAGGAGGACAAGAGGAAAGCGGAAGACGAGCAGTTCGCCCGGCGTGGCTTTGGATCGGGACAGGATAGAGTTGCTGAGTTGGTAGAAGGGTTGATGAGATTTCAACCACCCCCCAGGCCTGAAGAGGTTTTACTCTTTTACCATCCAATTTGGGGTTGACATATGATCAACAGTATTACTAGACTGCAGGGACTCGTTTAGACAACTTCATGGCAAAAGTCACAGATCTTTCCGCGTGCAGTTTTTCCACGACGCGCCAGACTAGTGTGGAGTCTGCTCACCAATCTCGCTGGTGGATCAGAGAAAGCATGTAACATTTGTGTCAACTCTTCCAAACAAAAGCAACTGGGGACACATCCTTTGAAATCCATGGACTTTGTAACATTCCAGACGTTTCCTCAATCCACGGGTCCAAGCTGGGCCAACCCTTCCAGCTGGGTCCGGTCCGTCCGGTCCTTCCGTTCTGACGCTGCGTCTTCTCCATCGGTCTGACGGTCTGACGGCGGAGGCCTTTCGGGTCGGTCGAACGATGCCAGGAAACGAAGGGAAGAAGAAGCCAAGGTGCTGCGCCAGCAGCAGGTGGGTCAGATGGGTCAGAGAGGGGGGGAGAGGTGGAGCAGAACAGTGGGACACCTCGGTTCTCTCAGACACCACAGTGCTTGGAGCTGTTGAGAGCTGATTTCTCAGCTCCAACAAGAACGAGGCCATCACGAAACTACCAGACCTTCCGAACGTCCGAGTGGTGTGATCAAAAAGGATCTTCAGATCGTCCCAGAAATTTTGAACAGTATATTACAATTATATATATATATAGAACAACTTTTCAATACGGTAGTTGTTGACCGTTTTACTTGATTTGTTACATTTGGCAACCAGTTCTACAACATCCTCATCCTATAGATGTGTCAGTGCCTTCAGATTCTTGCAGAAACATGGAGAGTTTGACGTTCCATCCTCAGATACATCCTCATTGCTTCGGCAGATGGGTCCCACGTCTCTCTCCTCGCATTGGTACTGGGCTCTCGGGGGCCGTTTACGGCGCGCGCGCGGGGCGCCGGTTCGGCTCGGCGTCGTTCCCCGCGGGTTCGGGGCGGGTCCAGGCGACCCTTTCGGTTCTGCGCGTGCTGCAGAAACTCTCCAACGCCAGCGGGGGGCGCCCGGGTGGGGGATCGGTGAGGGGATCGGTGAGGGGATCGGTGAGGGGATCGGAGTGGACGACAGTTGGGACGACCGTTGGCTGACCGATGGCGCCATTTTCCAGAGGGACCGATGGTCATGGATCTAAACTGGGTAGTGGTTTTGCAGAGGTGCCGTTTCTTTTCCAGCTTTACTTGGGATGATGGACGTCACTTTTTCAAGCGAGTTGAAACCACCGTTACCAACCAGCATCCCATTTTGAGAATGCGACCTGTTGAACATCCTCCAAAGACCTCTTCCAGCCCACGCCCACTTCCCCACCACCCCTCCCGCCGCCAAGGCCCGGACGATTTCGAGTCCTTAAACAAAGAACTCGAGGAGGCGGCCGAACCCGACGGATGCGCAAGAGCGAGGGGTCGGAAGACCGGTCGCTGGGTTGATGTCTTTCTTTTTTTTGGTCTCGGTGCAGCGCAAAAAGGATAGAATGATGTAAGACGCAAATCATGCCCAGTGTCGGTTTTTGGGGAGCTGCAGTGATTTCGGGATTTGGAACGTCTCACAACACCTGGATTTGGAACGTCTCGGTACCCGGATCCCGTGTGACGAAGCAAGAACGAGACGTTGACGAGACTATGGGCGAAGAACAACGCCCCTGACTCGATGGGCTTTTCCAAGAAGAATCACACCGGTGGCGGTGGTAATCTGTTGAACATCACGTTTTCTGCCATTCCAACAGAGGTTAAGTGACCTTATAGGACCCTACCAGGGTACCCTATAGGATAGCCTATACGGTTCTTCAACTTCTGTTGGTTGCAGACGTGCAATCTTTCGTGGCACATGGAAGCCTAAGCCTTCAATAGGAGACGTGAAGGGTGGCATGACTTCATAGAGTGCTGGTTTTGCTTTGGGCATGAACTTGGGTTGTATGTATACATTAAGATGTTTATATACCAGGACCCACAACGTCGGGTGGTTCATGGACACCCCATGACACCTCTTTTCGGAGCTATCAATAGAACCCCCTGGCCCGGGTGTCCTGGTACCTAGCGCTTCCTGTCGGGGTGCCCTGTCGGGGTGAACCTGTAAGTCGTGCTTTCGTGATCCAGCCAGGCGACCCCGAACGGAAGCAGCTGGTATAGATGTGTTTTTCAGTCAAGGCGTTTGTGCGGCTCACCACTCGTGCCGCCAGGCCCGGTGTCGCCCGGTGTCGCCCGGTGTCGCGCAGGTCCTCAACACGGAGTTGCCAGAGACAGGCGCACAGCAGGCGCCTCTGAACGAAAACCCAAAGGCGCCTCCCATTTCTTAGGTTGGGGAACGCACTTCCAAAAGCGCATGACTCCCATAGGCTCTCAAACAATCCAGGTCCTTTTTCTTCTTGGGAGGTATAGACCCCTCTTGATCACTCCCGGAAGGTTCATTTTACAAAAAACCTTTGCCGCAGCGGACCGACGACCGCCACAGAGCAGGAGATTCTCAAGGCTGAAGCAGACCGGGTGCTCGAGTATGCCAAGCAATACGTGGAGCAGGTCAGGTTGACAGGACCGACAGGACTCGGGTGGAGCAATGCGTGCGACCCCTTGCAAGAATAGTCCTTTACTAACGTGTCGTGTGGGCGCAAGAACTTGCTGGGTTTCTTCCTTTCAGCATCCCCCCATGAAGTGCCCCTTTGACCGAGGAATCGATCAAGCAGTATGGACTCCGTCTGGATCCGTATGGTGTGTTTGGGGGGCTCTTTCCCTGAGTCTTGATCGCTTGCAACGAAGGCATCCTCGGCTTCACCGCGAGTCTTCGTTCCGTTCGGCGACGACGACGAGTCAGTCCTCGGAGGTTCGGGAGCAGCAGAAGAAGTGGGAGGAGCTCCGAGAACAGCAGTCCGCGGCCCAAGAGAACAGCCGAACAGCTCAGACCCGCCGTTTTTCCCTCGAGTTGTTCGATCTGTTCGATCTCGATTTTTTGTTGGTGGTACCTTCGCTCCTGGAAACTCCTACAGTTTTGGAACTGTAAGAACCCGGGATGACTACTTCTAAGTGGTGTGCGGAATGTTCATCTGAGCAGCTGTAGGATTTCCTCCAAACAGAAACCCCAACTTTACTGATGGCCAAGAGTGTCGCCCAGAAATTTCTTAAGTGACCAAACGTTGCTTCCTCGCAAAAATACCTAACTCCGCAGCCGATTTCACCGGTTCAGCTGCAACGTGACTGTTTCTTCGACCGCCTTCGAACAGCGATGCTTCAGCTCCTTTGCTTCGCGCCTCGGCCCGTACGCTCTCGGTCCGTCACCTCGCCCGGGCCGACCCGTGACACCCACTGCGAAGCGCCGCGGTTTTTTGGGCGCCGGTTCTTCCCTCTGGCCGCCTCGGGCTTGAACAAGCAGTGGTGCGAGGACGGAGTTTCTGGGGATTTCTGGGGTAGGTCTTGGGATTTTTGGGAAGACAGCATGAGGACCAGTTGGGATCCTGGGATCCTTGTAGAAAGCGACGTTTGGACACGTTTGGACTTCAACGCGCTTGCGTGTGTGTGAGTGTGTGGTATTTTATCATAGAAGAACAAGATTGCTGGGATCACTTTGGATACCCTGGTTTCCATTTGTAGAGAAATCAACAATTGAATTATGTCGTCTATCAAGGAAGTGGGATGGGTGATTCTCATTTGTTCGTCGTTTTTGGTGCAGCCTCATTTTTTATAGACACTGTGAGTTGCCGGTGCTTCATTTCGCAGAGAACAGGACAACAACCTTTGATTTGTTCAGTATCCGATTTCTCTATCCGCGATTCTTTTGATCGCTAGTTGTGTGTCTCCCCGAAGCGTGTGACAGATGAAACAATCTGATTCTCATTTGGTAGAGACCGTTGCAGATTTTTGTTTTGATGGCTGATTCCCGTTTCTGCAGTGAATAGGGGAAACAGTTCATTTTGTAGACAGTCAAATGGGTGGGGCTCTCCTTTTGTGGAGACAGATCTGCACGCACACATTCTGTAGAAGCCAGTTACTAAGAATGCCTATGCCAAGATCACCCTGTTAATTTCAATTCAATTCTTTTCAAGCCTTTCAAATTCAAGAGTTCGACCACTTTGACAGCCGAGGTGGCCCAGTTGGCCGTGGTGGCGGCGACAGCTCATCAAGATGCTCCGCCCTCGCACGCCGGATGCTTCGTGAGCAACGGGACGACGATGCTCGCGGTGAAACTCACCTATGACGGATACCTCTTCGACATCCCAGGTGGGAGGGAGAGATGTCGCGTTCCTGCCATTTGCCTCTTGAAGGTCATTCTTGCTTCAAGGGCCATTCAAGGGCACATGTGACATTTGGATGACCACGACCCCCCAGAATTCTCAACGGCTCAAACAGCTTTTAATTGCCGAGGTTAAAACACCTTCCCGATCGAAAAGTGAAGCGCATCTCTGAGACTACGAAAAGGGGTTGGTCCGCGCTTGTTCCACATCGTGACCTTTTTCAGGTGCTGGGACCCCTGAATCACGAATATAATAGGATGATATGATAGGTGGTGAACATAACGGTCCATCAATAAGGTGGAAGGAGGTCAAAATAGTTTTGCCAAAGATAGGTCAAGCACCGCTTCAAGCACCTAGAAATAATTGTCCATGAATTCGTCACTATACCTCAAAATAAGTTTTGAAGGATAGGTCATCATACTGTATCATACTTCAAACATCTTCAATATAGATTTGAAGAATTGTTCATCAAACCTCCTGTCATTTTGGCCGCTGCTATTTGCTGTCATTTCTGAAGGATGCTGTCATTTCTTGTAAGAGCTGTCGTCCGTTTCTTGTAAGAGCTTTCCCCCGTTTCTTGCAAGCGCTTCCCCCCCGTTCCTTGTAAGCGCTTTCCTTCCCAACATGCTTGAATATGATTTCATGGGTCATCCACCCACAAGGAATGATTTGGAGGAGGTGGGGTGCACATACCTGAAACTCCCCTCCCCACCTTCAGTGGAGGTGCCATTTGAATCAGTACATACCACATATATAATAATATATATACATATACACATACAATATGCATAATAAAGATGGATCTCTCCTCCATTGTTATCCAGAGATGATCCAGTGATTTCACTTAGCTAAGCCACCTGTGTAGGCTTCAGTCGGACGCATCGGGTCGGTCCAGGTGGCCGCACCGATGGACACGAGCCAGCGCAGCGCACGGCCGAGCGGGAGACCTTTGAGGAATCGGGCTATCAGGTGGGGGACCCGTACCCATCAGACACGGGAAAACGAGGAAAGTGACCGGTCCGGACCAGTGTTTGGGTGACAGTACCCAACTGACATGAGTCGAAGCAGTCGGGTACCCACCTCTGTTGGTACACTCCGGTCCGGAACTGGACTTGATGCCGCCCGACTGGGCCCGGGCCGGCAGTGCCATGGGTGGTGGTTACTTCAAGCCCCGACCGGCCAGGATTGTGGTACTAAGTGCCTGCCTCTGAGGTGCTGTCGTGCCGGTCTCTAAGCCACGGCCAGTTTGATCAAGAACATTTGGCAACATCCGCACCCTTGCAGTGCAATGGAACACCGATGGCCTTGAGATGGTGACAACGCAACCCAACATCTCCGAAAGCTTCGCCCATCGACAGCGCTTCGCCGTTCCCGAAGCGAAGCGGACATGTTTTTTCCTCGTCGGCCAACATGTCTGGGAGGTGTCGATTGGGGAGCTGTTGGCCACGGTGCGGGGCGGCTTCAACATCTACAAGTGCTACTTGCAAGACTCCATCCCACACAAGGGCCCAGACCACGAGGTCCGGAAGGGGTCCCGCTTGCGAGATATGGCAATGAGTCAAAACCTTTTGGTATGGATCAATGGCGGGTTGACCTTTCGTTCCAGACCGCGATCCATACCTACGTTCCACACCTTGTTCCATACTTGCGTTCCAGACCCTTGTTCCATACCTCAATTTCACTCTTCCCCAAACAGTTTACTGAGGTTCTCAATGCTTTTGAGTGTGTCCGCCTCAGTCTGGGCTAGTGTCTCCACCTTCTAGCAACTCCTTAGTGGTAATTCTGTCTCCCAGTCTGGGCGAATTCCATGTGACTGAGTGGGGTTGGTGGATTGGAAGAACTTGTTCCGGCGTGTGCGCTTGAATTTTCCAGACCAGGTTCCGTACCGTTCCGGACCCGTTCCACACCTGCTCGAGCTCATGGAAGGGCGTTTCCCCACGTTTATGAGGCCTTCTCTTGTAAAGGGGGGCCTTTTTCTGCATGGAGTCTAAGTGCACATATGTACGTGTGTATATGTGCTCACGATGAAGTACAAATATAGAAGACATTCCAGACCTCCGGAACACACCTGCTGTTCCGGACCAGACATCTCAGCTGGTTTCGACCTCCGAATCGGTTGCAGCTCCCGGAACCGGTGCCAATTCGGCCGCAGACACCACACCGAAAGCTCCTAGACCTCCGCGGCTCCGCCTGGGAGGTCTCTTTGGTGAAGTGGATGGATGCGAGTGAAATCGAAGGTCACCTGCAGCACCACGAGTGGCGCTTCCAGGCTTGTTGGTTTGTGGTTGGTGGGAGAAGTCTTCAGCAGTGGGCGTTTGAACGCCGGCAGGGAGTTGAAATTCAAAAGGGGGGGCCCATTTCCGGAACAGAGTGACTTTGGGGTGAACGGAGTTCCACACGATTCCAGATGATTGCAACCTTGGTCGTGGTTTCGCTGGATAGTACGTCGGGAGTCGGGACAATCTCGTTCATCCATCAATTGGCGCGTCATCTTCACTCGAGATCGTCGCCCCATCGAGGATGACCAAGCTCGCTTCTACCTCGATTGGCTCCAAGGGAATAACGGCCAGCACCGTCGACTGTTGGTGGCCTGAGCGAAGCCACGATCGAATCTACCCGGACCGATGTCTAGTGTACAGGAAACGGCCCGGAGCCGAAGCCATAGAAGTGGATGAGCAGGAGAAACATGGGGGAGGGTTGATAGGAGCCAACTCAAGCAACCATTGTGAGTTCAAAGGGTGGGGTATGACGATTTTTCCTGCAATTCCAGTCTATGAATCACATCAAGCCGAACTGGTACAAAAGGCACCACAATACTCTTTGCAATTTCTCGTGGAAGTAGCATTGATCATTTTGAGAGTCCAGCTAGAAGCTTGGCTTCACCACTTCCAGCAATTCAGGGGTTTTCCGTGCAAGGTGGACAAATTCGGGTTTCCACCCTTTGTCACATAGGAAAGACACCGAGATTTGATCACTCGACTGGGCACAACGTCCAGTTGACAATTCGAATTTTGGCCTGGCTGTTGGAAAATCAGCCTCTCAGGCGCTTGCAGGTTTTCATCTAAGAAAGACTCCTGGCCTTGATGCGTAGGGAAAAGGATCTCCGGAGAGTGGGAGAGGGGTTCATTTTTTTGAACTTCAGAAACACTTGGGATTCGTTGGTCCAACGTGCCCAAGACATCGCAGAGCCACGCAAGACCTGTCACCACCCACTTTGTCACCCCCCGTACTTGGACCGCCCTTTCTTTTCAAGTTGAAAGTCCTAAGCCTCTAAGCCCTAAGCATCCTCAGTACTAACCGTTGCTGACCAAAGTTCTTTTCTTTCTCATGCCACCTGCCTGACCTCCCACAAACTATGGTGCCATGTTTTTAGATGTTTTTAAGCATTGCCAGTGGATGCTAGTGGCGTTTACAACTCCAACGAACCTGCGAACCCTGCCGGAAGAAGGATGAAGCGCCTTCTCGTCAAGCCTCGTCCTCGTTGTGACACTTGTGAGCCTCCACATCGCTCGCTCCCCGGCCGGTTCGCGTCTTGGTCTCGTCCCCGGGCTCCGCGAAGCACGCCGCTTCTGAGGGCCAAGAAGCAGGAGGAGTTGGAAGCGACGGCCCGGGCGGCGATCCAAGAGCTCCAGTCGCTCTGGCGGTGGTTCTGAGCAAGGGGAGTGGGATGGTTGGTGGTGCCGGACTGAGAGCGGTGGCACCTAGAACCTGAGTGAGTAATTCCCTTTCTGATCTTTCTGGCGTACCAACCGGCTCAAATGTGGCCGATTTCTGTATCACAATAGGTGTCAACTGGCTTCTATTGTAGATGCTTCTAGGCTTCTAGGCATGGAAGGTCTTGGATCGGGTCGTGGTGCTTGGTGCAATCCTCCCAAAAGTGGCCGCGGCACCAGCTGGAGCCATGGTGAAAAGCACCAGTTTCTATGCCTATTTCATTGACTTCCGTTTTGACTCATGAACTTTCCCAGCTGGTAGTCATGATCCACCACTTGTGAGACGGCTGTGGGTCCAAACCAGGATACCTTATAAGTTGACCTACCAGCGGTTTCGTCCTCCTAACAGGGATTAGCTGTTTCTGGTTTTTGACCCATCCCCATATGAGTCATCACTGGACCCATCCCCACCGATACCAATTCTCCAGTTGACCCACGCACCGATGGCAGGGCTTCAGTGACCTCTGCGGAGGCCTCGACCGTGGGGGGGGTGGTCGAAGGGCTTCGGTGACCTTTGCAGTGCATGGACATGTTGAATCGAATTTTCGCAGTGCCAACATCCCTCTGGGAGTCCAAGACGATTTGAAAAAAGGCTGACCTGCTTTTGCAGTGCAAAATCCTTGGTAGACTACGATACAACGGTGGTTTGAATGCCTGTCAGCACCACCCCTTTTCGGATAGTTCATTGGATGGTCAACACCATGGTCAGGGTGCCAAATGAGCCACCCGGCAACTGGATGCTGGTCAAAACCCGTTTCGTTTGTAGTTGAGAAGATTTGGGGTCTATGAGGCCGTGCTTGGCAGGGGAAGCCAGGGATCATGTGGCCCACATGTCCAACTCGGAAGAAGAGAGCCATCCGTAAGCCATCGCGTTCGCCTTTCGTGTCCAATATGTGCATGTCTCTTGGAGCATTGAAATCACCCAAGCCTTTCCTCGATTCCTCGAAGCGATCATGGAAGCCGACCTGATGCCAAAAAAAACAAATTGGAGCAGGGAGATTGCCTCCAAGATCAGCCAGCTGAAGAAAGGAACCTTAAGCAGTGTGTAAGAGAGCAGGATGTAAGAGTAGGTCGCTGCGTTGTTTGTTGGCCCCGATTTGCCCCCCAGTCAGGGATGGTGTACCTAGAGGGGAAGATCTTTCATCAATGTGGTTCTTGTTCACATCCCGCTGAACATGTTTACATGATCAGGTCCAGGCGATGTTGCTTCTCTTGCATTAAAGGAATAGTGCATATAGAAATTCAATACCTAAGATTGAATCAATTAGAATCAATTGAATACCATTAAGGTACCTTTTCCATTGATTGACTTGGGTTGATTCTCTGGTGTGCCATAGTAAAAACAAGGCTCAGCTCCTTCCTTGCGTTCTCAGGCAGCCGCCGAGGGAGCGCATTATACTGCAGCTCCACTGGCGCCTCGGGCAGCGAGCCGGGCAGGATGGGGGAGGAAGGCCCGTTTTTGCGAGGCCTGGAGCCGACCGGTTCTAGGCGTTGTAGTCTAAGATCCTTAATGTACCTAGCGTTTTTGAAGGGGTGCCCTGTATGGAGACCTGTAAGTGGTGTGGAGATATCCATCGGCGACCCCTTGGAAGCAGCTGGTAGACTTGTCTTCTTTTTTAAAATACACCCCTACTGTATATGAAGAGTTATTTTTTCCAATGCAAATGGGGTGGTTGTGAATCAAGAGTCTAGATTAAAAGAATGGTTGTTTTGATAGAAACATGTAGAAACCCATTAAGTCAATGGTGGAACTCCAACGTGGAGGTCTACTGGACCGGGCTGCTCCAAACTTGAGGGATCCTTCGTCCAAGATCATCCGATGATCCATATGTTGGGAACCGAAGCCATCACTGGCCCCATCAGAGTTGAGCATTTTTTGTGATGAACTTTTACCCATGACTGTCGGCAAAAGGCGTTCGTGACCCCCTACATAACTTTACCCTAATCTTGACACGTGCCCCGGGAGAAAGCGGAAAGCGGTCAACGTGAGGGTTTGTTTACAAACTGTTGAGGATCTATTCCTGCTAGTTGCGATTGGTGAAGGCTGTCCAACGTGTCGAATCACGGGGCCGATGCCATTCGGGTTCATCACACCCTTCCGGCTGGGTCGATGGCCCAGCCCTCCCATGGTCCACCTGACCCTTCTGTTGAAACCTTTTTTGTTCTTTTTTCCAGCAATAGGCTAGACGAAAGGTTCAGTTGCGAAAACCAAACGCCCACTTGCCATGAACAGCGTTTTGCAGCAGGAACCTCGCTCTCAGGACTGCGCCTCGCACCAAATCGGGGGGATGTTGCAGCCCATTTTTTGGGCGCCGCGTTTTTTTCGACCATGCCACGCACGAAGAGTGGAGCACCTGAGGCGGGAGAGCATGAGATGGAGGTCGTTGAGGCGTGAGGGTGTGCTCCTTGCAAGTGGGAAAGGATGACTGATTTTGCACGCCTCACACCATTTCTTTTGGGAGGGTTTTGAGGGCGTCTTTCTTTTGTAAGCCGGGAGACATCACAGTTTGAATCCAACACGCATGTCACACGTGTGGATCTTGTACATTGTTTGATGCGCTTCGTTAGCTTGCCGATCCTCCTACCCAGCTCCCTCCTTGTTTTGGGACCGACGACCAACCAATGGCGCGCAACAGCGCGGACCGCGCCGCAGGTCTTGAAGTTGTGCCGGACGGTCGAGAAGACGGGCTGGGGGGCCCCGGTCCGTCCGCGGACCGTTGAAACGGGCGGTTGGCGTGGCGTTTTTTTTTGCAAAGGAGACCAACAAGTCAAGTCCTTTGGGGCCATCGTTTGGACCTCAACTAGTCCAACCTTTTCACCGGATATTTTTTTGGGCCCATTTTGGAGCCCGAGCCCGGTGCCAAGTAAGGAGTCCAACCTCCTTGGGTCTCGTCTTTGGATTTGAATGGATTTGATCATGACTTCTGCTGGATGCAGTACTTCTTGGCTTGGCTGACCTGAGGCAAGTCTGCAATGACTTCCTGCCAGGCCACATGCCATCGCCTTCGCTTTTCTGATGCCGGCGGTTGCATTTGGGGCAATTCTTGAGGTAGTACTGTTTGAAAGTCAAGCCTGCTCCCAGCCTGCAGATGCAGTATGGAATCCACATGAAGTACCATCTGGAAATACCAATGTATCCAATGTGGACAACGGAAAAGCGTCAGTCTGATAGAAGTCCTTTTTCCAATCCCCTTTGCCCCTTTATTTATATAGCCGATATTCCATTGATCTTTGAATGTCTCGACATGTTTCCTTGGCGGTCATTTTTTCTGCGCACGATTCGGAAAGGCATGCCTGGACCTCGTAGCTGAGAAGAAGGCCACCATCGAGGAGGTGGGGATGCAGCGGATCGCGGGGATGCAGCGGATCGCACAGGGTGGAGGGAGCGCACGAGATCGTGTTTGCCAGTCTCAGACCATAGAGGGCCCTTTACTATTGATTTACAATCCCTCCGCATAGGAGGGGTTTCCGGACCTTCAAAACCAGTAGCTACTTTGCTTTTGCATTGCCCCGGTGGGGCATCCTGGATTTGACGTCCCAGGCCGAGAACATCCGGGCAGAGGCGCAACAAGTCATCTCCCAGGCGGAACGGTGGAAGTAGTAGACTGGGTCCGGGAGGTGGTCCGTATACTGTAGTGGTCCTTAAATAGATCAGAAACGCTTTCCAAGACCTTTTGAAAAAAAGGGGGTTTTACATTTTCTATCTATTGGAAACAACATGAATCTATTGGAAAGAAGGGGTTTTGGGGTTTTACTTTTCTAAACCCTTCTTTGGGGGGGTCTAAACATTGTGGCTTTCGGAGGAGAACGTCCAGCGTTCGGCTTACGATGGTCCGTGAAGTTTTTCCCAATTTTTTCATCCGTCGCACCTGCGAGCACCGCATTTGATCTGGACCTCTACTTCTTTGTTTAAAACCTTAAGAGTCATCAACCCCAGCCTGAGGGCCATGAATGTCCAAAACCGAAGGCTGAGCTTCTTTCGTGGAAGGCTTCAGGCTCAAAGCCCACGGAGGCCCCAAAACGATGGCAGGAAAAGGACAATGATCATCCATGATCAATGGCAGTGTTGGAACCAGTGTGTGGGGATGGGGAGGACCTGTATGAACCTTCATGCTTTGTTCTGCTTCAACCACAAGGTGAAGCAACTTTTCAGGGTCATGAAGCTTTCAAAAGCTTTCACCGTAACAAGACACCACTGGACTGCCGCCTTCGGGGGTTGGGTCTTCGTATTCGGTCTTCAGTCACCGGTCACACGACGTCGACCGAGTCGAGCCCCGGCACTCGTTTTAACAGGCCATCCAGGTCTTGACAAACCACCGGTCTCCGGTGCTCACGTGGACCCTGAGAATGGCTTGCTGAAAGACTGAGACTGTATCTCTACAAGTCAGTGGTTTTTCAGGTTTTTTCAGGGTCCATAGGCCAGCCTTCAGCGGGGTAACCCGTCTCAGCTTCAATGCCAGGTTCAGCCCAGGGTCCAAGCTGCAGGGGCCCTGACTGGAGGGTCACCTCGTTTTGGCGTCCGGAGGCATCGAGGCAGATCCTTGTTTTGGGGATCTGCTCGGCAGATCTAAGATATACTGTATATCTTATGGCTCTTTTTGGAGGTTGTTCGAGTTTTCCTTTCTCCTGAGGTCTCTTCCTTTCAGCTTTCTGACAGACTTCAGCTTGCAGAATATCCCCTCATCCCATTACTGTAGTCCCATACCTGTTTTTCTTTTCCCATACCGAGCTGCTTTGGAAGCAGTTGCCGGTCGCACCCAAGAAGTCCCGCTGGGTGGACACCACCCCGTGGCCGCCGCACGAGTCTCACACGGACTGGTCTCCGAGGCCACGAGACTGGTCTCCGATGCTTTGGCAAAGGCCAAAGACAACAAGGAGCGGATCGCCGGGGGACCTGCAGGAGAAAATGCCTCCTGGTCCTTTTTTCTCTGTGTCATGCCCAGGTTTTTTCGGCTTTTTTTTTTTTTTCGGTTCTTTTCTTATTTCTTTGGACGTCCTGCGGCGGGGACGTCCGGCGAATCATTATATATAGTTGTTGATGTTGCTCATTCGTTGGAACATTCGTTGGAAGGTGATCCGTTTCTACTTCAACTATTCTTCGCAGATCATTGAAGTACCAGACCTGAACTCCATATGAGATTGTACTTTAACAGGGCCGCCTCTCAGTTTGACCTTGGGGAAGATCCAAAACAGACGACATTCCATTGGGCCAGGGAGGTCGCCCCTATAAATCAGACCTGAAGTCTATAATTTTTGTACGCTGTACCTGGTTTCGCTTAGGTGATTGTATTATATCCCTATGGTTGAATCCCCAAACCTGGTGTATTCTTTTTATTCCTAGGCTTCCTGGACCAGCAAATCCAAGCACACATGTATACCTTGGGCGCTTAAGCGAAGCTCGCACGGCCACGACCGAGGCGAAGCGGCTCGCCACGGCCAAGCGGACGGAGATGCGGGCGAAGCTCTTCGCGAAGTACGACGAGGAGAGGGGCGGAACGATGTGGGCGCGGAGGTGGATTCGGGGAAGACGTGGAGATCGACATCTCTTTTTGGGAGAAGTGGGAGTCGACACCTTCATCTTCATCCTGATAGGGGCGTTCCTTTTTGCCAAAGAAAGGGGCCCTGAAAGGGGATTTCTGGACCTTTCTTGAGGTGAAGATGTCAAATGATCTGACGGTAACATTGCAGAACATTGCTTAAATTCAATGAGAGGACTTGATTCTGGATGCTTTCATTGAACATTTCAGACTGGTTTGCCATCAGACTTGCTTCATTTTGCTTAGCCGGGAGATGCTTTCACGCCATAGGGCCCTCTGTGCGTCGCGGCAAGCGCCTTCTCCTCATTTGAGACATCGGCGTAGGCGGAGGCGTAGCCCCTGTCAGGCTGCCCTGGAAGAGGATTTGAAGGTTTTTAAGGTTTCTTTCAACGAACAACTTGTGAAGAGCAATAGAAGGTTTGAAGATGTTGGAATATGTTCTAATTGCGTTGCAAAACCTTTTGGCTCAAGTTGTCCTACTTCGATCCTGCTCTAAATTGGAGGAACCAGGCGCTTCGGCCTCGCGAACACATGAATGTCTGGGCTTGCGTGAACCAAGTCCGCTGGTCAAGGGCCCCCCTGTCTTTCCCTGCAGAAGAGAAGAACGAAGCCACACCAAAAACTGACGAACATGAGACTCCAAACGAGTCTGAGGGGCAAAGGCTTCGTTCACACCGGGTCGATGTTAGGGAGCGGAGGCGGTCACTGGCCTGCTGATCAGAAGGGTTTTCAGAGCGAATCACCCAAAAGGAACCTCCTTCACTGGCAGCGTTTCTGGGGCGGTCTCTCCGGTCTCTCCGGTCGGACTCAGCAGACCGAACCGATGAACCGACGAAGCCCCGGTCTCCCATTCGTGGCACAAAGCGAAGAGGAACGGTCGGTCTTGGGGTCCGGTCTGGGAGGAGGTGGTGGTTTGCGCTTCGGGTCGGCACAGAAGTCATGGATTTGGGGGGGCGAAGGCTCGGAAGGTCTCGACTCGGATGGGCCAGGTTTACCTCGGAGTTTCCTCAAGACTTGGGGTGCCAAGTATAGTCGAAGTGGACATTCTAGGATTCTAGGGTAAGAATGGGGATGATTATATAGGGATTAGGACAACCCCCCATGCAGTTGGGGGGGGGTTCTGACGATTCCAAGACACATGACCTGGAAAGCTGTTTGGCTCTGCACTGTGCAGCGACACAAGCGCTGGCAAGACCTGTGGACAGTTCGCACACTGAGCAAACATTTAGGATATTTGATTTACCGTCCCTGAAACAATTGTGGAAGTGGACAAACACCTTTTTTGGTATTCAAATTGCATGGTCGAGTCATCCATCCTAACTCAGGGACGATTTCAGAAACTGGAGCCCCGCAAAAGGGGGGGTAAGAACATCACGATGTCCTCTCTGTTTCACGACGCGTCGTGGAAACACACGCCGCGGTCGCTCAGGTTGGAACGGTGGGAGAATGCCGCCTCAACGTCTTCCGCGTGGGATCCTGCTGGGCGGCCTCAGACATCAGGGGATGGACGGATGGTCTGGAAGCAGCAGGAGAAAACGCCCACAAGGGAAAATCCGACAGAGTAGATGGTCATCGCCTGATCTGAAAACCACCCGGAAGCTTTTGAGAAGTGGCTCATCGTTTTCACTCTCCACCTTCCAGACACACCCAACAGGGTCGGCCATCTGAGACTAGGGGCGGGGGGCTCCGTCACCTGGGGAGTGGGCCGACCAGTCAAACGGAGCCTTTTTCGATCCTCTGAGGCCGGAGGGTATCGATGTGCCCGAGGGCACCGTCCGGGACACCCAACACGCGCTGGCGCCGCCGGGGCGCGGCCGGGGCGCGGCGATGGCCGGGAGTCGGTAGCTCCATGCGTCTAAATCACGGGCATATTAGTTTTGGAATGTGTGGATGACTCATCACTGGATATCGCTGGATTCCCTCCAACATCATGGTTTGTTGGGTGTGTGCCCCGAAGGTGCGCCGTTCGTGTCGTTTCGGTCCCAGGATATCATGCAGTTCTGCCGGGACCTGGCTGAAAGCCACTTGGGCCTGTCAGACCACTTGGTGCGAGGATCTGGCAGAGATGGCGATCCAGGGCGTCGAATTCTTTCAACATAGTAGCTACTGTAGCTTCTTGTTACTAGTAGTAAGGCCAGGAGCCCCTAGCAGCGTCCTTGTTCCTAGTAGCGATGCCAGGAGCCCCTACTAGCGTCCTTGTTCCTGGTAGCGATGCCGGGGCTTGGGTTAGGTGAACCACCTCGAGCAATTTCAAAACGGACAGGGGACATGGTTACCATGGTTCCGAACGGAAAACGCACGACAACTACTTTCATCATCTTTCATCTACACGGAACAGTTTTGTGGGGGGTTCTACAAGGAAGAGCAATGGCAGGTGATGACCCCACCGTCACCCATGGGCGACTCTGAGACAAAGCCCCGACCCTCTCCGCCCACACCACGGAGACAGTGAGACAGCCGGGGGCGAAATGAAACTCCAACCCGCTGGTCCGGATGGCTTCAGTTGAGCGGAGTTCTTTTATTTTTTCACCGACACGGGAATCCATTCATTTGGATGTAGCCATGATGTACCAGGAACTTCCTGGCCCCGGCTGTTTGGGGACCCTTAAGAATCCCTAAGAGGTGGTTCCCGAATTGATGGTGGTTTCTGGGCACCTGTTTCTGGGAGTCATCATTTTGGTCAATCATGATCTGTCACTCCGGAGTGACAAGGTCATGACACGCCAAGTCCAACAAAAGACAGCGCCCCAACGCCTCCCACCTCCTCCCAACGGCTCCAACCCCTCCTCACTCCGCCTCGCCCCCTCCTCAGGCGGCGCCCAGTTCGCGGAGCAGTTCGACCGGAGCCACCCGAAGTTCCACGGCGGCAACCCCACGGTGCGCCACGTGTCGACCCGCCCCGACCGGCACCCGGTGCGCCGGGTGGAGCCGGTGATGCTCCAGTCGGACCCGTCCAACGGGCCGTGGACCGAAGGGGTGAAGGGGTGCGCGAGGGGTGCGGCAGCGAAGGGTGGTGGGGGGTCTTCTTTGGGGGGATTGCTGGGTCTTTTGTGGGGGGAAGGGTACAAGGTGAAGACCCTGGAGACTTGCTGGAATCGACTGGAGAGTCCCATTTTTGTTGGGCGGACGAGCAGCCGAGAACCATGGTGAGCCTAAAACAGATCCCACTAGATGCAGCAAGAAAGGAGTCCGAAGTCACACATGCTTTGGACATCTACGAACTTCCGAACTGGGGACCACCGAACTGTATGTCATGGTGGTCACGGTACGCATCCAGACTCCATTTCTATCCATTTCTACATCTCCAACTTTGGGGGGAATGGTGCAAGAAAAAAGTCGGCCGAAACGCGCCGAAACGCGCCGAACACATGAGGCTTCAAGATGCTTTCAATGTTTGTGATTTTCATGAACCAATCAGCAAATCACTTCACTCTTGATCCTTGCAGTTCTTTGCTTTGCTCCAACAACGCTCAGTTTCACCTCCGGGCCCCTCCCCCTCCACCGGAGACGACGCCGGAGCTCGCCAGGCCGTGCCGCTGGGCGGCGACCGGGTGCCCGAGTCGCTGGCGGCCTCCATGGGCGGTGAGGCGGACCGAAGCGGTGGAGGTACCACTGAGAAACCTAAACCCTAAAGCCTAAACCCTAAACCCTCCCAGACACACGCACACATGCAGGGATGGCGACTGAAATGTGATGCTACCAGTTGAGTGGCAGGAGACCCCGTCCTCAGTGGCCCTGCAGGGATATTGGTTGGCACATCCCGTCCTCAAGAGCTTTTGGTATCAAAAAGGATCGGCGTTGGCGCGGCATTGCTTGCCTCCAACAGGGTCTTCGCCAGGCGGAGGTGAAGAACTGGCGAGACCTGCCGGATGCTCCCTTGAGCTTAGAGGCCCAGCGATGCCCCCGCGCGTTCAGTGGCAGGGGTGAAGAACCACCAGAACGCATGCGGTGTATGGATACCATTGATAGCAAGAACAGCTGGTTCTGTACTTCCGTGACAGTTGCTTGCATGGACTGGAGCATGACATGACCGAACTGATAGATGCAGAACATTATACGGATCTTGTTGGGAACCCAAATGTAACGCTATGCAGGCCAGGTTTGAAGCCAAAGACTGCAGACTCTACTGTAGACATTCTCGAACTCATAAGGAAGGTTGTAAGAAGCAGGTGGTGTTTGCGTCCGATGTAGTGCAAGTAGTGGTTGGCTTGGCATGCTGAGTGGCGAAATCCTCCCGACAGCCCTAAGACCCGGTCAGGATGACTATGGGCCAGACTACAAGCGATGGATGGACGCTCATAAGACTCTCAACGACTGCAAGAAGGTACGAGATTCTGCCATTGCCCAAGAAGTGGGTAATGGCATGTGGGTGAGAAAACCAGGCAGATACCACATTTCAAGGTTTTGATTGGTTTCAATATGTTTCAATCGCGTTGTGCAGACTCAGGATTGAATCATGACGGGGGGGAAAGGATCTCGAACGCAGTGCCATCCAGGAATTCAAAATGTTTCATGATTTGTGGTTTGATGGGTTTTGTTTGAAAGAATCTTGTTAACTGTAGCACCACGGGAACGCATGGCGAACGCAGCACCGGCCCTTTGGGCAGGCCATTGCCGTAGTCAACAAACCAGTGGCTTCTCGACGGCACAGAGAAGAATCTTCAGGTCTTGGATTCATTGTCATTCGATGAGGAACATCTACAGGGACACCGTGACACCCATTGCTTTCACATGTGAAAGCACCGTGACACCCATTTCAGCACTTGCTGAGGAAGTTGCCATGAAGCTCAGAGTTCAATACACAGAGGCGGAGGCTGGAACTGCCCAACCCGGGGCCCTGGAAGGTTGGGAAAAAGGTCGGTTCGCTGCTTCGGCAGGCAGTGAATAGAGGCGGATTCAACGCTCCTTTTGTGGCCCTTTTGAGGCTTCCATTCTTCCTTGTGAGGAGGCATCATGCAGACATATGCAGACTGTTGACCAATTAATTAGAACCCATGTAGACTCTCGTTTGAATAAAAGCACCCCAGGCCTGAAGAGGTTCCACAATCCATGTCTGGAAGGGATTTATGAATCAAGAGTCTACAATAAGCTGAGTTGTAGAATGTTGATGAAGCTGCGTTTTCCTGCGGCAGGGGGAAGACAAGTCTGCCTACCAAGGGAGGCTCAAAGGCGGGACATGTGACATGTGACGTCACGGGTGAGACAAGGGGTTCGTGACCGGGACACCAGGAAGGAGGCTCCGTGCTTCTACAGGTTTACTGTAGCAGTTTTGATCTTTTGCCTCCTTGACATACATGAAACTTTGGAGAGGAACAACTTTCGCTTCTTGAGGTCGGACCCTGTTTTTCGACCTTTTTTTTGATCTATTTTGGGCCAGTTCAGAACGGCAGGCGCCGAGAATGACCGCGACGGCGCGCTGGACGCCGCCACGGTGCCGCGCCGAGTTCTGGGCGTTTGCCGTGCGAAGAGGGGGAGAAGCACTGATGGTCTCAGCGTATCCAAGGGCAGTCAAGCCTGGTGCGAGGATTTTTGGAGCAGTCAAGCTTTTACTCCGAATAGACGCTGGGAAGCAGAATGTTCGAAAGCGATGTTGGGATCGGCTGGAATCTAATGTAGACTGAAGACTGTTGATTAATCAAACAAGCACCAGACAACGGTGAAACCTCTTCAACATCACCACTCTCGCGGCCCGTCCTGAACGAAGTCTCCTGTTAGGACAAGCGCACGTTAGTGCAGACATTCATGGTCAAACAGTGCAGACAGAAACGAAGGGAAAATGACCTGAAGCGAACTACCCGTGCCCAGAATGCAACCACGAAAAGACCTCAACAGAAGGATCAGAGTGGGATCTCCCATGATATACACCGTTCTGAAAGTTTCTGGCGCTCGTAGATGGCGTTTTCTTTTTTTAAACAATCTATTTTCTGGACGGAGTATTCGAAGTGAACATCCAGATTCCGGCAGCATCGCCTCGGACAGCTCATCGAGCTGTGAAGCTGTGTGGCACAGCTCCGATGTTTGCCCCTGGCTGGAACAGTACGACCTTCAGGAATATGGCTCAGCTTTGCAGACAAGTGCGACCCGGACAGATGCTGAACCTCTTCAACTGGGGGGTTGAAATATAATCAGCAGTCTACACGACCCTCTCTCCAACGAACATGCCCTACATTGCATGGCTCCCCCTATATATACTCACCCCATCTCATCCCTTCACTTCAATGGTTGTAGCAGCTGGTCGCTGCTTTTTCTTGGACCACTTCCAGTCTCTTCCTCCGGAACCTCCCACCGCTCCCGTCGCTCCGCCGCGCCGCTCGGCAGGCCACGATCCTCGGGATGAGCCCGGAGGTGATCTCCGAGCGCTGCCGGAGCTGCGTGGAGGACGTGGTGAAGAAGGCCCGGAACCTCGGAGGGAGAGGTGATATCTCCGAGGTCCACCGCGGTGTTTTTCTTTTTTGGGGGGGAGGGAGGGTAGGGATACATAGGGCGGCTGGAGGTAAAAGGGTATGAAGTGACATGAGATTCATGTGATAGTCATGATCTTGAAATCATTCATCATGGCACTCATTGGACCTGGTGTAGAAGAATGGAGACGGGTTCTTCTCTCGGTCATTTCTGGTTGCAAAGCTCTATTTCATCATCTAATGTTGCCGGATCCCAGTTGAAGTGGTTTGGCATGTGTCACCTGTCACCACATGGCTGGGTGGTTTCAGTATACAGTATTTCTACACTAGAAGGCGAACCACCATTGTTTTAATAGCCTTTACTGAACAACCATTGTTTCACTAAGGGTTTTACACTACAAAACCAGATCAACCATTTAAACAAAGGGTCGACTGGACTTCCAGGGTCTATTTTCAAATGTTCCTGCCAGACACCCATTTGAAACCACAGACCGCCATGTCAGCGCAGGCCCCCTTCTCAGCTCATCCTATCCGCACAGTTGTCTTGTCATCATGAGTCTTGTACTGAAAGACCCTGACTGTTGGTGGTGTCACATGCAAAGACACTCTGTAGATCTCTGTAGCATCTGTAGCTTTCATTCATGTTTCCTGGGATGGCAAAGGTTTATTGATGTTTGTTGGCACTTGGATCTCTTGTCCCTGTATGGGTCATTAGTAAGAAAAGGCCTCTCTCATGCTTGGTGGTGGAAAGCCAAGCTCGGAGATGTGGCTTGCAACCCCCCCCCCCCCCCCCCCCCCCCCCTCGGGTTCGATTTGGCTTGTGGTCGCTCGGTTAGACTACCCTGCGCACATGGGTTTGTCAGCTGATTTTGTTCACGTCTGATCTTCGGGCGCCGTCTCTTGTGACGAACAGAGGATCCGACGACGGAAGCCGATCGTGAACCAGAAAGCGAGGTTCCTCCCAAAAGGGTGGAGACTGGAGACCCATTTAGGAGGCCCTTTCGGTTGGGACGTGCTTTGAGACCGGCACGGCTATAGAAACAAGGAGCCATAGAGAATTATTTGATGTTTGGTCATGTATAGTTGCAATTGCTCACGACTCAAGACTTGCTATTATAAACCCTCTAAACCCCGAGTTTGCTTGAAACCCGAAGCGGAAGGATCTCGTCGGACAGGTGAAAGAACCGAAACCCCCGTGTTTGGCCGGAAAGAACTCGACCTGTGTCACTGTTCCTCGAAGGGGAAGTTCGAGTTCATCGACAAAGAGACCTACGGGGAATTTATCCAGATCTTGAAGCGCGCCAACCAGGATGCGACGCATGCATCCACTAACCAGGACTCGAGGATCAACAGGTCACCACCTGCTGACTCAAAAGCCTCCATTTCGGAGACCTGTTGGTTTCGGTGCTGGTGATCATATATGATTCTATGATCATTACTATGTTATTGATCGAGGTTTTGGTTGATCTGTGTTCTTTCTTCGACCTTAATAAACAGCGCGTAGCTCAGCAGCTTCGGTTTCGCCGTGCCTGATGCACGTTGGTTTCGCTGGTGGCTGGTGGTGGATCGATCGGAGATGCATGGCTTGAGAAGTATACTCTTTGACATAAGCATACTTCTCTGGAAGTATTCTGAAATGCGTGGCTTGATTTGACATACTTCGACATGGGTTATTTGTCCTCTTTGGCATACTCCTCATTTGCTGGTAAGAGGAAACATGAAGCCATGCATTCCAGCGACACCAAGTAGCCCGTGGACGGACCGTTGAGCCTGATGAAAACAAGGTCACCACGAATGGGCATGCGCCGAATGGGCATCCCAAATCTGGCGTTGTTTGGAATGAAAAGTGAATCCTCCACCTTCCACTTCATGTGTATTTGACCTATTGTTCCTCCAAGGGACGGGACATGGGCACGGTCCGGTACTTACCGGGGTTGCTTGATCATGCTTGATCAACACCCCCCGGTACTGGCCCCCCCATTGGGGGACTTGGGCTTGTCATGGTGGCAGGAGATCTTCATGGATCAAAAGAGAATACTTCAAAAGATCAAGGCCTTTCCGCTCGACTGGGGGGCCCGAGGATTTAGGGGCCTGATGGCGGGGCGGTCCAAGGCCGAATGTGCTGAAGAAAAGGCAGGCATTCCTGAGATAGGTGACTCTTCGAGAATGTTTTGCAGGTAAACTCTGAGAGACTAAAACATGTTCAGGTCATTTGTGGTTCAAGAAATTGAAAAACAGCATGGCCACACATGGCAACACCAGTGCAGCCACCTCGTGCCTGTTCACCATCTTCACGAAGAACCGTTGTTGGATCAGTTCTGCTGATCCTGAGCTGAATCGTACAACTTCACTCCGCAAGAACTTCTAATTCCCTTTCTATTAAGGCCAGCGACCTACCTTTGCCAGACCTCGTTGCATGAAACGAACAGACCAGCTCACAGCTTCGCTGGACTCGTGAGTCGCTGGTGAGTAGGAGTGTTGGCTGGAGTGAGTTGGCAGAACTCGGGTAGACGACCGCAGGAAGCCTGACCGAGGTGCTTAGGTGTGCAACCAAGTCATGCAGAGAGCTTGACCACCCAACCAAGTCCCGCCGATCAGCTGCAACCTGTGTGGAGGACATCAAAAAAGCATGCAAGGAGCGAAACGCTCATCCCGAGAAGCAGGAGGAGATGTCACCTGAGATGGGTGTCGATGTGCGCGGAATTTGAATGACCTGCTATAACAGCTGTTTTGCTTTTCGCAGATCGATGACCGGGTCAGCAAGAATGAGAGAAAGAGTGGTACGGTTCTTCCATACTTTAGGACAAATCAATCCTATTGGGATTGGTCTGGCAAGGCATTTCTTTCCAATCCAAAAGAACACCGTAACCGGCTGTGAACCGGAAGCTTTCACCGTGCGGACCCAAGGGCCCTCATAGGAACTCTGACATGTGACATGACCGGGAGATCGTGTCTTGGGAGATGTGGCAAATAACATGCAATATCCAAGCTACTAGCGATGGCCTCCAACCTACTAGCTATGGCCTCCAACCTACTGGCGATGGCCTCCAATCTAGCATAGTGTGTCGGGGAGTGGCTCGTTTTGGACCAACACCGAGCTCGCTCGGTTTCCCCAGGACCTCCCTCAGGCTGACGCCGCGGAGGGCGGCGCCTGAATGAACCGTCCCGGTCCCGCCGTGTGAAGCTGACAAGGCTCAGCTAGGGACGTGCATATGCATGACTATAGGGTGAAGCGCGTTTGGCGCCAAGAGGCGGACACGCCTCCAGTTCATGGCGGTTTTGGCTTTCCGGAAAATCAATTTTTCTAACTTACAAGGGACAACCCATCTTTGCCCATGCATCATCCATTGTTTTTTCCGGAAAACCTTTTTCTTCCGGAATGTGGATTTGTGATTTCCAACCAACACTGCTCGGCCTTTCTCGGAGTCAAGGAATGTAAAACAAGACTAAATGACAGGATGTGTCATCATTTTGTTTGGCTAGAACCAAGAAAAGTTGCGATCAATTCCATACCGCAAAAAACCTTTAATTATAGACCAACGAAGGCAGCCCCATTATCAGGCTGCCCACTGGCAAAGAAAGAAGGGAAACACATTTTTTCGCAAGAGCCGTGAACACATGTAAGCCCTTCCCGATTTCCAATACATGCCGGATTTGGACCTCTCGCTATTGTGACGTTCGCCATGTCCCAACACATGGAACAGATTGGAACAGCAAGTTTTCAAAATCACATCCATACATACAGATCATGAACGGCTGACCTGTCATATGGGCTTTCCCGCGGTGCTTGCTGCTGGTGGCCGTTGTCGAAAAAGACGCGTCCTCCGTCTTCTTAACGGTCTTATTTGCCAGTGAGGAGAACGTGACAAGGTTGACGGCAGTAGGTGTACCAAGATCAGTAGGTCGAGGTTGGATCAGTAGGTGTACCAAGATCAACAAGATCAGTAGTAGGTTGGATCAGTAGGCTTTTCTTTTGTGGCCATATCCTCTATGAAATCAAGGTGTTGCGTAGGTGTACCCAGATCCCCAAAGGCGAATCCTGCAAGCTTCCCCCTATGAGTGCACACTGTCTCACTCGGCGGCTCGACCGACCGTCAGTTCGCCGGTGAATCACCGGGAAAAAGGGTCATCAGTTCGGCCGCGTGGTCGGCCGCGTGGGCGTGTGTTCCTGGGCCTTCAAGAAACCATCTAGCTTCTCCAAGTGTCGAATTTTTCGCCCACTTGCGAGGATCTCCAACGAGAGATCTCTCTCGGAGCGACCGCATGACCCCTTAAAATGGGAAGCGAAGCCATGTTCGACCGCGACCGCACTCGCCATGAAAAGGCGGACCCCAAAATTGACCAGAAAACTCATGTTGCTCCCCGACAGGCTCAATCCTAGGGCCCTACAAACTCCAAACACCTTCTAAGAAGCTGTTTGGGGTGGGTTTGAAGGGTCCAAATACCTTCTGAGGAAGTATGACTGGAACGCTGGGGGAATGGATGGACCAAATCCCGCTTTATCATACGGTCGTGGGTCAAAACCGGGGAACCTGGTTGTTCCCACCCAAAATGAACAGTCTGTAGACTACCAGGGGCTTTAGGGCCGTAGGGCTCTGGGTTTTGACCCACTTGATCACACTTTATCATACAAACACGTGAACCCCTCTTCGCACACCGAACGCACCACATGTATGGGTCTATTGCCCATCAACATCTTTCAACCGTAGCAATTTTGGAGGTTCGGTACGTCGGTCGGATGAGGTTCACAACCCAAGACCAGTCCTGGGGTACCCAACCCCAGACACTCCATATATGCCAACATTCGGGTGGCTTGAGGGGTCAATGTAGGCATATATGGCATACATGGAGTGTTTGGGAACTGGAATAGTCGAAGCAGTCGGGCTCTTCAACCCATCTGTTGGACTTTTAGCAGTAGGTGCTTGTTGGTTGTACCTCCTCACGCTGGTTGCACGTGGTTTATGTTGGCCGTGTGTAGCTTTGCTCACGGCCCAGGCCGCAGTATGACCAAGTCCACCAAAACAAGGGAGGTCCACATCTAGCTTGCCAGTAGCAAGCTGGTTTTTTTTCTATGCTTTCAAGTCACGTCCCAGTGCTGGTACGCTGCTGGCCAGTTCTGAGATCGCCCCAGGACGGCGACGGGCGGTGGAACCGGAAGGAGATCGCGGTTGGGACACCCGGGTTGCCGTGGGGTTTGGGAGCCACACATGGGCCGGTGAAGGGATGTTTTCCGTGAAGGGTGGGCTTGTGCCGCACATTTGCCACGTATCATTAGATATACCAGGACCCCCAGTCGGGGTGGTTAATGGACACCCCTTAACAGCCAAGGGGCTATAAATAGACACCCCTTGGACCTTGGAGGGTCCTGGTATGTCTTTGTTGTTCGTTCGGAACGCTGGTCCTTTTATTATTGGTGGAGGATCGAGGATCGCCAGTGCAGAGGAACGCGAACGCTTTGCTGCACCAATCTTGTTTGGTCCACTGTGAGAGGTGCAGAGTTTGTGCCCTTCTGTCTCATAGACCGTGCTGCATTCCTTCCATCAGTGTACAAAGGAGCTGCCGCTGTGACTGGAGCGCTTTAGCTCGGCCTTGGCTTGTGCCGAGCTGGAGTGCACCTAGGCCTATGCCAAGGGTGAGTTCAACTTCGACATGCCGGAGGAGAACTTAGTTTGGGGCTCAGAAGCATGAATCCTGGTGGACAGTGCAGCCACATAAGCCACCTCTCACAGTCAAGGATTGCAGCTGGTACACAGTTTTGGACTGTTGAACCATAGGTAACAACTATTGTAGACTGAGATCACATGATGGCTCATGCGGAACGGATTTCTACCTTTGCAGCTTCAGATACCATTGTTCAGGGCGTCTGGCTTCTTGCAGTTTTGAGGGTAGTGCGGAATTCCTTGACAACGCTGTCAGAAGTTGAATATCAAAAAAGTTCAACGCCTCAGTTTGTGCTTTGAAAATTCCAGCTACAGAAGCCAGAATAGACTAAACCCCCATCGTTGTAGGATCGAGTGGCATCCTCCCCGCAGGATCGAATGCGCCCCTTCCCACAGCTCGGTGGATCATGGGGGGGATTGGGTCAAAAACCCCACTCCACAAGAGCAGGCTGCACAGGTCGGTGGGTCCCACCCATCCGTCGCCAGGTCCCAAGAAGCCCCACGGGCACGAGGGGACCGTCCCCTTTGTTGTTTGAATGAAAAACGCCGCCCCCCCCCCACCTCCAACGGAGTGCCACCCGAACCCCGAGGATCGGATCCTGCGGCAAGTCTGTGGAGGTGAAGGTGCGGGAACGGGCGAAGCAGCCAGAGGGCGCCGGTCAAGGCCAGAGTAGCAGGGTCCCGGAGCAGGTCTCGGAGACAGAGACATGCAGATTGGGAACAAGTCCCGGATCCGGAGCAGGTGGCGGAGCAGGTCCCAAGACGCTCTCGTGATTGAAACTATTCTGCTGATCTGCTGGCATGGTGTCACGCCGGCAGGTTGTCAGGCTGTCATGCTGAGTCATGCTGCCATGAGTCAGACTAACATGCTACCACGTTGTCACGCTGAGATGCGAGCATCGGGTCATGTTGTCGCGCTGGCGGGTCCAAGGCCTCCGGAAGAGGTTCCTTGACTTTTGCTTTTTGGCTGTGTTGTCATGCTTGCACATGTTTGTGCACAAATATAGAGGCACTGACGCATTGCCGTGTTGATATGCTGACGTGGCACATTGAAAAGGCTCACACTTTTGAATACAGCAGTGTTTATAACACACATTGCCACATGTTGCCATTGCTTGATCAGCAAACTTATGCTCAGCTGTTGGGATATTTTCTTGGGCGTATTCCTTTCTATCCAAGTGGTGGAGACCCAAAGTAGTAAGAAAAGCATGCATCATGAGCCAAGAAGAAGACGAGGAGCATGCTACAGCATGTTGGTTTGCTCAAGTACACCAGTTGCTTGGAAGTTCGCGGCGTTTTGAGCGGCTCCCGTGGCAGGTGCAAGCATTGATTGCTTGCAGATCTTAAAGGTCTCCGTCGGTATCGCGCGGGACGAGGCAGGCCCGGGCCACGTGTGCCACGCCGCGTTCCTGCGGGGGTTCCGCGTTCCGTGTGCGTGCGGAATTGGGGCATGCAGATGGATGGGGATCCAGATGGATCCAGATGGATGGGTAAGAATGAAACATGGGGCACCTGGCTGGGGCCTGTTTTTTCCTCCACACCCAGAAAACGCGCATGCGGGGAGAGTGCAGACTCTTTTGGGTTGGAGCAGCTGCTCAATTGGTGGTTCTGGGTGATCTCGCCAGAGCGACGCACGGGGCCTCTGCGAGCAGAAATGTAAACCCTCACAGCTCCGCTCCTCAAACTCAACACGGTGGACATGATGTCCAGAAACATTGGGGCACCGATCCAAAACAAGATGGACATCTTTCCCAACAAACATCCACCCGTCTGACTGTGCTTCTAAACCTGAAAGTTGGCGCTGCGGCTGAAGGACAAACTGATACGCCTGCTAACTTGGGGATTTTTCTTTTCTTGGTGCTTGGAGGGAGGACCACTATGAACTACGATCTCCAAGGGTTCCGCTAGGTAATCAGACTCGTCACCCAGGGCATCCCAGGCGTCCCTGGGATCGTTCCTGTTCCTCGGTGAGGACAAGGGCAAGGTGAAGCGCGCCGAACGGCTTGAGCGTGAGCGAATCGAGTCCGGGCCGCCCAGGTGTGGGATGGAGAGTGGATGAAACGAAACCACTTGCGATTCTCTCTCTCTCTCTCGCTCTCGCTCTACACTGTATGTATCAGTGAAAGGGTGCATTTCTGTCCATCTGATCCATCGCGCATAGGTGCAAAGGCAAATACAAATTAAACCAGGGTGGTCCGGGGGGTTTTGTGACGCAGAGTGGAGAGTCCGGATAGACTAGACCAAACCACTGTGAAGATGGGGAGTGCCATCTGCAAGGTGCCTCAAGTGCCTAGGAGTTGCCGCCACAGCCCAGTTTTGGATCCACCTTTAGCGTACTAGTAGCCGAAATCACAAGTGGAGAAAACCATGAGACATCTAAATGAGGGGCCTTGGTGTTGGTGAGCGGGACTTGATCAGACCAGACTTGATCCGCGAACATTTTTGTCAATGCCAAACCCGCGTCAAACTCATCTCACTTCCAATGTGTTGTGGGT